TTTTAATAAGCATTTGTTTGAACAATTCTATGTATGTTCGTGCTACATAAGTATGCTATATACAAGCCATATTTAGTACAAAAAATGTTAAGTGTTGCACGTGTTTGCTTGTAATTGCATTATCATTCTTATTCTTAAAGAAGATAAGCTTAGGATCTATAGGTACCTACAGGTTATGAGGTGTCTGGCATTCCCTATGTGGATTGAAATGAGCTGGTCATTATGGCCCTATAGGGCCTCGTCCGTGGTGGTCTATTGGTGGCGCGGAACGCTACGCGCCGTACGCTCGGGTCTGGTTCTGATCGGGCGGCGAGCTACCCTTACTCGCCGTGGCCGGAGATCATTTCTCGATCCCCGACGCCCGGAATGTCGTCTACTGCGGCGGCTGGAACGCGAGGAGGCGAAAGCGGCATAACCTACTAAAATATCAATCAATTGACAAAAAGTTTTTGACTGTTAAATGGTACCTAAAGAATTCTGCTTACGTAAAAAAACATTCTTCTTTTAAAACTAATATTAAAGCGTGTTCATTATCTTGTAATCTTTGTACAAAGAATTCTCTCAGTATAACTAAAAAACAGATGTTTTCATTCTGATCGTCGGCTAACATTGGGGAATGCTGAGAGCTTCATTATTTATAGCGAACCGGCTGAATCAATAAATAAACTTTCGGTAAGCTGTTATAGGTACTTACTACAGTTTTGCGTAAAAGGAATCAATCATAAAACACTGAATGGTTAATAACAAAAACAAATTTAACAAACAGGGGCCTTTTTTTGTCAGGGGAAAATCATCAAATGACTTCTCCCGCCAAGGGTAAGGCGAAAGAGAGTTTCAGACTTACTGACTAAAACCGCCCCATTTCTTCTCCTGCTCTAGGCCGAGGCAGCGGTGCTTCATTGCATTACAAAAAAAAAATCTCGTACAAATCGTTCTATCATAGCTGAAAAAATCGTGTAGGTAAGTACATTAATGAGCTTTTTGCGGTTTAACATAAAGATAAAATGAAAATCTATGCAATAAAAATTTTAATATCATTATGCAGAGGTTGCACACTAATATTTTTTTGTGAACCGCATCGGCCACGATGTTGCCACACCTATCTCTTCAGTATACAGTCTTATCAAAAATATTCTAAATAAAAACCTCATGATTCAAACACAGAAACTTATATTTTTACGAACAGGTTCTTGGACGTTTTCCAAGTTTTTTGTTTAAACACGGCGTCGGATGCGAGACGGGATATCGTTTCGAACTCGATCGGAAAATCAATTTCGAATTTACTTTAGAAATAACCTAAAAAATACATTACGGCTACCGCACACCAATTCATAAATTTTTTTCAACACACTTTCTCGTGAAGTGGTTCTAATCCACGTCAATTAGGCACGTAATGACACCTATAATCAAACTGTGACTTTTTTATTACTATTATTCACAAGTGAGCAATAAAGTTTTTTTTTAATTATTGGTTGAGTTACGCTGACAGTTGTGCTAAAAGGCCGATGCGCGCGCATCGGAATACTGATAATATTTTCCCGCCATTACGAAAAAAAATTCACAACTCTTCTCGTTTTCGCTTTTGAAGTATTATTTTTTCAGAAGTGTGTTTTTAACGTCAAGAGAAGAACGTATAGGAGAAGTGGGAAATAGGGATCCTTTCGTCATTAGCGAGATAGAAGAAGGGACGGGTCACTAGTAAGTTATAAAAGTCTTGAAACCTAATATTTAAATTGGGGATGGCGGAAGGATTGGGCCTTCGTTGCCATCACTTACATGCCTTGATCGTGTCACGCCAGTTATCTGTAAGGCCGTGGTATCACTCCTACACTTTAATCTAATTCCCCACAAACACGATCTTCTTGCCAATTTATTATTTAGTCCTCTGTAAGTGCCGTCGTAACACTTAGACGCAAACGTTCCCACTATTATTAATGTAATAAATTGTCAGAGGTCAGAAATACCACGAGACATCCTTCATCACCTTAGAGTCGTAAGGGCCAAAGTGCGTTTTAGCAATTATTCCTTTAACGTTCAAGCAACTGCCTGTGGCTTCATCCAAACTATTGTAATAATATTATCATCTTCATCAGACTATAAGTGCCCCACTGCTGGGCAAAGGCCAAAGCATTTTTCACTGTTCTTGCTCAAGGCGGATTGGCGGTTTCAAACTTGTACAGAAATTATAAGTCCAGGTTTCCTCACGATGATTCCCTTCACCATATGCCAGTAGTGTGTAAATAGACTTAGGAAGTTCACATAACTCGGAAAAGTCACATGTTTGCCAGGTATTGAAATCGCTCCCTCGTTCGTGAGAAGTGGACGGAGTCGGAGTCTTAACCTCCAAGCCACCACGACTTAGTGTAGAAATATCTACAGTAATATCTATCGATTAAATATATCTTTACCATTAGATAAAATACAGTTGTTTCCAACCAGTCAAATTCAATACTTTTAACTTCTTGTCTGCCGGTATATGCCTACCAATAGAAAACAAATTGAAACAGATCTGCTTTCCGGCAATATACACGGGTTAGTGAAAATAATGTCAATAACGTCGTAATAATGTTTTTGCGCTTTTGTAATGGTTCCCTGTCTCATTCTCGACTTACTCTGCAACTATCTCTCTCAGACTACTACCATCATACTGCAATACTTTTCTGATTTTTTCATTTTAATTCAAGCCTTAACAATTGAATTCATCTGTGTCAATGTAATTTAATATTTTTGTATCTTTAAGTCAGTAGGTAATACAATATTAAAATTACAGACTTCATAAAATAATTTGAAATGATGCACATGATGAGCATTGTCAAAAATGTCTGGCAATTAAATAGGTATTTCAGATAGAAAAAAATTACGCTTTTTATTTATTTTTTCAAAATTCTGATTATTACCTGGACAGGTAGGATGCGCACTAATAAACGCAACCGTTACTACTAGCCAGATAGCCCAGACTCAACCGAAAAAGCAAGAAGGACGATATATCACAAAATATGTAGACCTAAAATTCATTCAATTCCTAAATTTCATTTATTTTAAAATGTTGCTAACTCCCGTACTATAAGAACAGATCCTCATTATGCGGGCTGTGAATACGTAGCATGCTCATACTTTGCCAGGGCGCGCCCTCAATGTATCATGGACGCCGATTACGTCATGACAAACAAGTACCAAAAGGATCCATTATAATGTACATATTTTCGTCTACTGTTTGCCCAGTTTGACACGAGTACTTACGTTACTAGGTTAGCCGAAAATTGACATAAATTCTTCGTTGTAACAGAATTAGAGATTTTCATGGTATTTTTTAGGTTGAATTTAAACTTACTTATGTGACATTTCTGTTTTCCTTCTAAGTAAACCTAACACGTTTTTAAGCTATATCTTACAATATAAGTACATCTATTGCAAAAATTCGTTAGAAATTAGATGACCTATTTTAGATGGAGGTCACATCGGATATCGACAAATCTAAAAAGGTTCCATTCGAGAATTTTATGCATAGCAACACTGGGTTAAAAACTACCGTCCTTCTAATCAGCCAGGATTAAAAACATAAATTTAGTAGCTGAAAAAAAAAAGTTCTTTAACCTCCTTTAAAACGGTCCATAGCCTAATAGACTTAATTGAAATGTACATTCTTAGGTTTTAATTGAAGGAATCAATTGTGGGAGTTAAGATAGCACAAATTTTAGGCCCCATTTTGGCCGTAAATATATGTACATGGATTATTTTAAAGTTCAATGTCAGATGAGATCACCAAGTGGGAACGAAGAAGCATCTCTTTCCCGCCAATCTTTTAACATTGAGTAGATAAATTCTGTTTTTATATCAATATATTTTTGAACTTATTTTCATTGATAATGCGACACGTGAATGATTGTGTGTAGTCACGTTTTTATATTTCGTTAAGGTCAACGTTTGTGACTTGTTTTGATTCATTAGTGTGTGTTTCTCAGTCAATTACCTACAGTTTAATATTTTTATAAATAATATACAATGATTGTTATCTATCTATTTTTTATTGAATGTATGTTTGAATAAACTCAAGTGTATACCTAACAGTAACAACGAATTATAGTATTCTATTTAGTTCAGGGTCATTTGGGATTTGGTGCTGTTTGGTATTTTCCATAACCAGATTCGTTTTTTTTCTATTATGAAGATCTATTTAAGCTAGCTATACATTAATAAGTTTAGTATGTACTTTCTAGATATAAAACAGTATGTACCCGACCACAATAAAAATGCTTGGTCAACTCTAACAAAACAATCTCATCATTTTCTAGCCTAGTTTCATTCACTTGATCGATATATTCACAAAAATATTCGTACGTTAATACGTCTAGTTCAGCTCTAAGCTAATAGATGGCGCTGGCCACATTCCTCATGCCTATAAAGTCTATAAATAGCCTCAGCCTCATTATTTGAGTACCATGGGCTTCTCATGGGAGTGCTATTAGGGGGGCCTTGGGTTGTTATAGATGATGTTATCAACACATCTGTTTGTGTTCCCCGTTGAAGTTCTTAATTCTATTAAAATTAGTCTATGGAAACAGGAAAAAGCTTTCGACGAATGATTGTAAAAGCCAATTGTTTTAAAAGAGGTTTTATATATTTTGCCTTTCAGAATATTTAGTAAAAGGTAGAAAAAAAATATAGTGAAGATTTAAGATTTAACTTAAGCCAAGTCTGCTTTTTTTGGTGTCATAAGTTTTATGTGGTTTATGAATTTGCGGCACCATTATATAATATGCAGGCATAGATACATCAGTTTTTAATGGAACTCATAGAAGAAGAAGGTGGATTATTCGTGTAACAGTTGCCCCCCATCAAATGTCCTCTCCCGCGTTGGGTGGGGATAGAGTGTCAGACTCTAACTGACTAAAAACCACCCTATGCCTTCCTTCATCTCCTTGGTTGCACGCCTGCAGTCCTGGTAAAAATTAGGCCTAAATTGATGCCTACTGATTTCAAAGTTATTTCTATTGTTACAGATAAAAAATGGCTCTCGTGTTTGACAAGTGCTGCTTCTGCATAGAGCTGAGGACAGGATGCCTGATCATCGGGTACTTGAACCTGGTAAGCATTAAATCATTAATTATCTTCATCATTTTCTGTAAAATATTTATTGTAACTTGATGGATGTTCGCAACAGACTAACTTTTATGAACAATAGTCGTACATTCCAAAATTAGTACAAAATGAGTCACTAGATGGCGTAAGTAGTAGGTAGCAAGAGGCTAGTAACTTTATTTTGATAATAATATACCTACAAAAAATATTCGTATTAACTAACAAAATTATTAGCAGAATTATTTGATAGTGTCCGTACGTGACGCCGCTGTTATTTAACCGATAGCCATCAGATGGACAGTTTATCAAAAAACATAAATCTAACATCTTTTGGACTAAAAAACCACCGCAAATTCAACCATCGATAAAAATGCCACAAACAAATTGATGTGGTGGACGGAGTATTAGTGAAACAATTGCAATGCAAAGCTTAGCTATTTGTTAGTTTTGAAGATGTAGAAGCCAAAATGTAAATCATTTTCCAAATCTGCACTCTTATACACACATCACTAGGAAAGCGTAAAACATGTATTAATGTAAATTAATCTTTTTTCAGATCGGTAACATCATAGCCATTCTGATGTCGATCATCGGTCTGGCAGCTGCTGGTGTAGTGACTGCAGAAGGAGACAAGGAAGACGGCACACAGGCTGTGGGCGTCCTCATGCTGGCGATCATTGGCATCCTGTTGATCTTCTTTATCCTGTTCCTCGCGTTCACTATTGTTCTTCTTGTTGGGCTGCACAAGGTAAGTCTCAATAAATATAATAGCTATTTTAACTCTTCTGTCAAGAGTCTTCTTTAGTTCATTCCTTTAAAATTTGCTAGACCAGAAATCTGAATTTCTAAAATTTCCTAATCTGTTTTTTTCATGGTACTAATTTGAGACTTATATGTAAACTCGTCAAATTATATTTAAAAAACTTAATAGATGGAGCCTGCATTTACTATCTGACTACTCTGAAAAGAAATGCCAAAACAAAACTTAGAGGTCAGTTTTTTTTAAGTCCAGACAATGTAAATTAAAATTATAAGGTTTCTCTCTCAATTGAAAACGCGAGATTGTTTAACCAATTTATAGTTACTTGTAACTGTAGACCAATTTTGGTCTGCTCTACAAATTGATTCTATTTTACCGTCAGCATATGGCGTGGTACCGGTTGGTACTCTTAGGTTTTTTGCAGAATAAGACTTGTGTTTTTCTGTTTTAAAGCTAACATTTTCAAAATTCCTTATTCCAGCACAAGCGCGGTCACATAAAGGCGTACTTGATCTACACTGTGATCTTCTTGGTGCTGTACATCATTCTGTTCTTCGCTGGTTTCGGTGCCGCACACATCAATGGTGGAAATGTCGCCAGGGATCTGATCTCAATTCGTAAGTATCATTGTTTTAGTGCTGTCTCACTCCTGACAATTGCCTGTAGGTATATGATAATAACAGAGATATTTCTAAATGTACGACAAAAATATAGCAAAAACGTGCCAATGCTTTAGGTTGCTATTAAGTATACGTATTCTTCGAAACAAAAATCAATAGTACATAATTTTTTTTTATGTAATATGTCGGCAAACGTGCGTACGGATTACCTGATGGTAAGCAATCAGCGCCACCCATAGACACCCGCAACGGAGGAGTTACAAGGGCGTTGCCGATCTTTTAGGGATTAGGGTTTTAGAGATTTAGGGATTGGGAGGGATCGGGGGAGGGGAAGGACTGGGCCTCCGGTTACCTCACTCACACGGCGAAACACAACGCTGTGGTTGTTTCACGTCGGTTTCTGTGAAGTTTCAAGTGGTATCACTCCGGTCGAGCCGACCCATTCCTGCCTAAGCATGGCTCTCCCACACTTATTATTGCTATTAAATATATTGTTCGAAACACAACGCAGTAGTACATAAATGAGTTAAGTATTTATTATTTTAATCTTTTTTTTCCAGTTCTGAGCATTTACTTCATGCTGGTCATCAGAAGCTACTACTTGAAGATGGACGATCCCTCCAACAAACCAGCTGTCTACAACACAGCCTAAATAAACAAATTTAAACAATCTAAAATAGAGACCACATGTTAAAAATTTGAATAAATAATTCGTATTTAAAAAAAGAAGACCTTTTTGTGTCATAAATTAATGGTCGTTTGAATAAATATTTACAAAATTGATTACACAAAACTGTGCCTTAGGGCGTTCGCCTAAATGTCATTGTGGCCTGATATATGAATGTTTGATACGTATATTTCTAAGTGTTGTCCATCGTGGTCAGTTGAATAGCTTTCAACCAATAATTTGAAGTGCGTTTATTATCTTTCGCCGTCAATATGCTTTTCTAAATCCTGCGCATGACAACTGTTAGTGTAAAAACATTGTTATAATAATTAAGTCATTTAAGTTTCTTATAAATTAGTTGTAAGTTTTTGCGTTCGTTTTTTAAGTTTTCAGTTAGGTACTTACAGTTAAGTTTTTGAATGTAATAGCTGAGTTTTGAATAAACATTTACGAAGGTTAACGTTGAACGTTACTGTTTATAAGTATATAGTTACAGAAATGCAAATATTTTTAAGTAAATTTTATATATTTGTTCAATAACATGAATGCAACCGCCTTTTTGTTAAAACTAATTACTTATATAATTTAAAATCTTTTCATATCACTGATGTGAAATAGGAAAAGACAGGTGTCTTTTCTAGACGCCGACGAAGTTTTACAAAAAAGAAACCTATGCTAGAATGAATAAAATAGAAAACAGATTGTACTGGTACAAAATTAATATTAGAAAATATAAAATATTTTTGTACTTTTTTCATAAAACGAAATATTATATAAAAGATAACAAAGCTGAATAAGCGTTGTCACCACCGATGTAGTTGTTGAATTAGAAAAGTTCTCGTTAAAAATATTTTAATTTTATACGATGTTAATTTTTCTTTTGAAACAATGCAAAACATATTGTTTATTACTTTTTTCTTGAAAACTTCCTATTCACTTAGGTACATAAATTTATATCCACTTGTTTTATTCAAGTTTTTTTTTTATTTTGAGTATTATCATTATTTTTGTTCTCCTTGTTTTAAATAAGCTGCAAGGAGGTGCTACTTTATACTTATTAATTCTAAAGTGAAAAAAAAAACACTTTATTTTTGTTGCATTTACCTCATTAGGTAATAGTTTGACTAACGTACTCGGAAATATTTAATTATTACTTAAACTATTTCTAAGTTAGGATTTTGTTCCGAAATAAATTGCTGAAGACTCTTAATCTAAGTACTAGTTAAATGACTCTGAGTGCGGCGTGTTTAATATAAAAATATGTAATATAAACAAAGCGTTGCATTTGTAATGTTTTAAGAATCTCTTTAAATTCAAATTTTAAATTACTTATGATGTTATTTCGTGTGCTTTGTTGTGGCAAATATATGTATGTACACATATATACTTAAGTCATTAGCATTTTACCAGAAACTTATAAAGGTACAACATTAGTAGAATCTTTTTTCTTCTATTGTTTGTCGAAATCGGAACTTTAGATCTATGTGAGACAAAATGTATTTTCTACTGCGTCTCCTCTGACTACAGTCAAAAGGACAGAGAGCTAGTGCCTTAAGGTCGAATATTAACTATCTTGGAGTTTCATTATTTGTACTTTCATCCGAGTACACCTAAAACTTTAGGCCTCAACCGCACTATGGCAGAACTACGGCTTTATCCGCGACATTTTATAATACTAGATACTTTATATACGACCAACCGCGAGTGCGGTTTTGTCCCGCGACTGATTTTATACAGTAAATAGTTGCGCGGCTAAGAACTGCCGCAGTTGAGAAATGAGGTCGAGGCTTAAGATAGGATATTGAATGTCAACGTAAAAAGTTTAAACTATAATGCTTGAATGTTTAATTAGATTTGTTAAGTGATTTATATATCAGATATTAAACTCTTTCATTAATAAAATATGTTGTTTTTTTTTTCTTTTGCGAAAGGTATGCGATCCCTATAAACATTGAGTTTATATTTCGCATTGGCGTTTGATACTACATAACTACTCACAAGATTGCATTATTACTGAGAATTCACGAAAAAGTGTAACACTTCCACGATTCTTTCCCAGGGACATCCTCATTAGCAGCCACTGCTAGGCAACCGCATCTTCTCACATGGAGAAGAAATGAGCATTACCATAGCAATGAATGGTAATCTCAACGTACTTAGTCACTAATCTCAGAGCGAATTGGTAATGTCCAACTTATAATTACAAATTATTATGCTCACACTTCCTCCAATGTTTTCCTTCATATTGTCGATGCAAAGATTATCCGCACGCCTCTAGCGGCGAAATTAAGAAACTGTCTAAGAACGACATTTTTTTTTGTTTGTTGTAGTTATGTTAGATTATTCAGATGGATCACAAAACCTGTTGCTAATAAAAGTAGAAATATGTTGCGTTATCCGTTTGGATATTTCGCCGATTTCATAAATTAAGCGTCGAGTGCTCGGTTGGTCGGATGGCCGAGCTCACAAGATGTTTATGTTTTGTGACTTGTCGGTAACATAAGTCACCTCAAGTAATGTTTCTATTCAAGCTAATGAATGACTTTTTCAAGTCGTTCAATTGTTTGTTGACATTGAGTTTCAAATGTTTATATTTTTAGCTGTAAACAATGACTATAGTTGAAAATGCATTGTTTGAACTTTAAAAAAGATTATTTTTAAAAGCTAAGCGGTAACATATATGTATATTTATGACTTGTAATGGTGGAAAGATTCTATCTACACACGAATAAATAAAAAAACATAGTAAAGTAAAGTAAAGTAAAGTAGTCTTTATTGTGTTGGTTACAGGTGTTATACATATTTATAGTGGTATACAGTACAACAATCAGCCCGTTTGGGCATACAATAATCAAGGCCCATTTGGGCTAGTACATTATTAATTAAAACAAAATTACAAGTTAACAACAAAAAATATATAAAAGTTACACATTACTTATTTTCTAAAAAATCCTTAATTGCATAATAACATTTTTGTGTAAGCCATTCCTTTATTTTTACTTTAAATAATCTTAATGGAAGTTCTCTGATAGTTTGGAGTATTTTATTATAGATTTTTATACACATAAACATACAATTTCTATGATACAGAGTGGTTCTGCATTTTGGTACAACAATCTTACTAGGATCTCTTTTGCTTAATGCACTGTTTTCTGAAACTTTTTCGAATAATTGTTGGTGATTTCTTACGAAGAGACCAACTTCAATGATGTATAAGGAAAAAATGGTAAGTATTTTAGTTTTCTGAAATAGGGGTTTGCAAGAATCAAAGGGACCGGCATTACACATTGCTCTTAAACAGCGTTTTTGTGCCAGGAAAACTTCGTTTATTAAAGTTGAGTTGCCCCATAGTAATAAACCATATCGTAAAACTGATCCTATATAACCATGGTAAGCAGCAATTGCTGTGGATTGAGTGGCAGTTTTGTTAAGCTGTCTTAGAACGTAGACAAATTTGTTAAGTTTTGAACATACATAATGTATATGAGACTTTCAATTGCAGTAGTTGTCTACAGTTATACCTAAGAATTTAATGTCAGTGGTTGGACTAATCACTGTATTATTATATTGCAAAGTAATTTTTTTGGTCACTGTTTGATAGTTAGAAAATTGTATATATTTAGTTTTAGTTAAGTTAGCCTGTAAGTCATTGTATGTTAGCCATTGTATTACATGTCCTAGGGTTTTATTAACCTCTTCTTCGTGGTGGTTGTTAGGTCGGTCAGTGTTAGGGATAATGATACATATGTCATCTGCGAATAAGATACATTGGTGGGGTGTTATATTGGGAAGGTCATTTATGTATAACAAGAACAAGAGGGGTCCCATAACACTACCCTGTGGGACTCCTGATTTGTTATGTCGGTAAGGGGATTTACAAGGTACGGATACAAGACTTGTGTTAAGGTGGTTAATTTCAACACATTGGGTTCTGTCTGAAAGGTAACTTTGTATCCAATCTAGGGCAGGTCCTCTTATACCATAGCGTTGGCATTTGTTTAAAAGGACTGAATGGTTAACATAATCAAACGCCTTCGACATGTCTAGAAATAGTACTGTAACTGGGATTCTATTATCAATATTTTCTGTTATGGTCTTTATTAAAGAAAATCCGGCAAGTGTAGTCGACTTATTTTTTTGGAAACCATTCTGTTCTTCCTTGATGACCTTAAATTTATTGAAAAATACAGTAATACGGTTATGCATAAGTTTTTCATAGATTTTGGAGAAAACAGGTATTAGAGTTATTGGCCTATAATTCGTTAATTCAAGGAGGTCATCTTTTTTGTAAAGAGGTTTAACAATGGAAATTTTTAATTTTGTCGGAAATGTGCCTTGGACAAAAGAAAGATTTATGACGTGTGCAAGAGGTGATGCTATAATATTGGTACACATTTTTAAAATATTTGTACAGACATGATCATACCCGACCGCTTTGGTGTCTTTGAGACTTTTGATGGCTTTAGCTACTTCTGTCGGTGTGCAAGGTTTTAAAAATATGGAAGAATTTATGTTTTCCACACTACTATAATTTGAATTGGGTTTGGTACCGTTTTTAGATATATTAAGTGCAGTGTAGTATTCATTAAAAATGTCTGCTATTTCATTTGGATCACTTACAATCTTATTTTTGTACTTAATATTTTTAATACTCTGAAAGCATTTCATGTCATCATTTTTTTCTTAATAATATCCCATGCCGCCTTGCACTTATTTTTAGCTTTATTTACGTATATGTTATTTATTCGTTTTTTAGACATAGTTATACACTTTTTTAGAACCTTATCAAATTCTTTGTATTTTTTTATTTTTGTATCTGATTTCTTTGTGTAACTTTCATAGCGTAATTTTCGCTTTGTTATGCAGGACTTTCTAATGCCTTTTGTTATCCAATTTGGACCTATAGCGTTAGCATTTATTTTTGTTTTTATAATGGGGAAACAAAGATTATAGAACATACAAAAGGTGTCATAAAAAACATTGAATGCATTATTGCTATCGATCTCATTGTACACATCAGACCAACTGAGACTAGACAAACAGTTAATAAATTTCCGAACATTTTCGTCGCGATAGCATTTTTTTAGTACGTACCAGTATTTAAGTCTGTTTATTTCTGTTGTCGTTGAGAATTTAAGTACTTGACACGTGTTGTGGTCTGATAGATGATGATTATGAATATCGGTTGTAGTGTTCTTAATATTACTATAAATATGATCAATACATGACTTCTGTCTGGTTGGGGAATCGATGTGTGATATGAGATTGTAATTAGACAGTATATTTTGTATATTAAAATTCGAGTAGATAAGAGAAAAAGTATTGAAACACCGCGTGACAGAAAGAAATAAATATTACATATTATGATGTCGTGAATTGTTACGAAAACTGTCAAAGTGTCGTTAGAAGCGCTAGTTAGAATCTTTGCATCGCCAATAATAGGGTGATATAACCTTTGGTACTGCTGAAAGAATATGGTACATAACAAATACTTATTACTTAACAGAAGCACAACCTTTTTGCTTCTCAATTACATTCATTCTTACAATACAGGTCAGAAATTAAAAATATTTTAAGTTACATAGACAATTTAAAAAAACTACTGTCACTCGATGTTCTCGGAGATTTTAGAAGTACTTATGTAAATAAATATTTATCTATTATGAACATTCAGAATAAACTACCATTAATGGAGAGGTTTGTTTTTAGTTGGTTGTTTGTAGCATAGATTATAGTAATATACTAGGTTTGTAGTTTCGCATAAAGAATGTTTTTCTTGAATCCGATCTGAACTTTAATTTATAGTAACGTTAATTAATAACTTACCCGCAGATATACGAAATGCTATAACAAAAAGTAATATAAAAATTAAACTAAAGTCTTACTTTCTGCAGCTTTTGGAATGCTGATATTAGATTGGGAATATAGTTACCAATATCCTAAATGTAATGTACCTACATAAATAAGTAAATATTCCTTGTTAATAGAATTAAACCTTTAACTAACAATCTTGATGTAAACTAGTAGTAGCATTGATTACAAACTTTAGTAGTTTATGAATGCTATGTATACCTATTAAAGGTATTTTTTTTAAAATGGTAATTAATAAAAAAAACTGCGAAGACACTTTGATGCAAGTTGAGAATAAGTTGATGTCCCATTTCACTAATATTAAACTTTTTCAAAAGGCCTCTGGCTAGGAGTTGGCTTCGACTCCTCGTACCAAAGGTCTGGGACCCCGTGGTCTCGTGATCGGAATATTAATTACACACAAAATATTAATTATTTATTATTTTTTTAATTATTCAGAATCAAACCAGCTCTTGAATTTAACAAGTGTTGCTTTTGCGTGGACCTTAGAACAGGGACCTTTATCATCGCGTATTGTTACTTGGTAAGTACTTCAAAACGTTTGAGACAGCCCTCACAGGCGCCGCCGCATTTTTAATAGAAGTCAGGATGGGCACAGAATCATTATAAACTTTTATTATAACTTTGGTGAGACATTCTAAATGAATTATTATGTTTTCGCTATCGCGGAATGCCGCTCATGAATATGGGCCTCTAGCATGGCTTGAAACTAGTCGAGTATCTCGTCAAATTATAACGTGAGTAAGCCTAAAACATAATAATTAAATATAAACTTTGTTTTTCCTTAGAAATGCTTTCTCGCAAATACAAAGTTTTTTTTTGAGAAACCTAAGTATCTTAAACAAAAGTTGAGGGTATTATTACTTTTGGGAGACGTATTTTCGTAATGCGCTATGCTGCTTAGGTACATATATGAGCCCCATAGTGTGCTTGAAACTAGTCGAGTAATCTCGCCAATCGTAACGTGAGAAAACCTAAACGGCTTTATTATTGGTTTAACATTTAGGCTACTTTTTATCTTATCTTTTTATTTTTTGACCTAAAACTGGTCATCATATTGATATACTCATGTACTATATACATAAAAGTATATACTCATAATATAAAAGTAGCCTATAATAAAGAATTACATTTTTCAGATCGGTAACATTATAACCATTGTGTTGTCGATTGTGGGTCTGGCGGCTGCTGGTATAGTGATAGCAGGGGGCGACAAGGATAACGACGACGACATGCGGGAAGCGGGCATTCTCATGCTGGCGATCATTGGCATCCTCTTGATGTTCTTAATCCTGTTCCTCGCGTTCACTATTGTTCTTCTTGTTGGTCTGCACAAAGTTAGTCAAAATATCTTTTAACTCTTCTATCAAGAGTTTTCAAACTTAATTCTTTCAACATTGCTCGACCGTGATATTCGTTTTATTGAATTCTCTTAACTGTTTTGTCCATGGTCTAGAAATGTGCGTCATAAACGGCAATATGTGGTTTCACTTTCAACTGAAAACGTTAGCATTTTTATTTATTATTAAGCGATAGGTCGTCAAACGAGTAGACGGATTACCTGATGGTAAGGAATCGGCGCCTCCCATGGACTCACGTACACCAGAGGATTTCCCAGGTTTTCGCGGATTAGGGTTTCAAAGAAGATTAGGGAGTTATGGGGTGGAGACAGATTGGCCCTTTATAATCTCAGTCACACGGTGAAACAAAACGCTGTGGTTATTTCACGCCGGTTGTCTCTAAAGTCGTGGTATCACTCCTGTCCAGCTGGACAATCCGAGCCGAAGCTTGGACCTTCCACATTTAGGTTGTGTCACATGTTGCTAGCACAAAAAAGTACTATTAGGCTTTTTCGAAAAAAAGACTTCTGTGTATATGTGTTTAGGGTAATATATTCAAAAATCTTTATTCTAGAACAAGCACGGAAACGTATTGATGTTCTTGATCTACGCTGCAATCTTATTGGTGCTTTACATCATTCTGTTCTTCTCTAGTCTCGCTTCCTCACACACCAATGCTATTGTTGCCGCCAAGGATCTGATCTTAATTCGTATGTATCATTATATTTATAATAACTTTCGTGAGACATACTAAATTAATGATTATGTTTGCGGCGTACTCGCGTAATTGTCGACTCGAGTAGCCAGTAGCAGCGCGACAGTCGTCGCGACGCGTGTCGCGGAATGCTGCTTATGAATATGGGCCTCTATCATGGCTTGAAACTAGTCGAGTATCTCGTCAAACAATTACGTGAGTAAGCCGCAAAAATATGACGTAAGTATCATTGTTTATGGACTGTCTATGATCAGATCACACATCATCAGCCTATAAGTGCCAACAGCTGAGCAAAGGCTTTTTCTGAGACAGTGAAAGTTTAAGCATTAATCACAATGCTTGCTCAAGGCGCATTGGGGATTTCAAACTATTAAAAATTATAGGTCCGGATTTTCACCCGATGTTTTCCTTCACCGTATGTCAATGTTGTCTTTATAAATAATGATAAACCAATAAAGTAGGTACATATAACCCGCCAAGAGTCACATCGGTACTTGCAATAATAATAAAAACCCGCACCCTTGTGCATGAGAAGTGGACGCCTTATCCTCCGGGCCACCACGAAAGCTGTCTGTATTTTTTTTTTATTACCTGATGGTAAGCAATCAGCGCCGCCCATGAACACCCGCAACGGAGGAGTTACGAGTGCGTTACCGACCTCTTAGGGATCAGGTTTTTGGAGATTAAGGGATTTGGGAGGGATCGGGGGAGGGGAAGGATTGGGCCTCTGGTAACCTCACTCACACAGCGAAACACAACGCTGTGTTTATTTCACGCCGGTTTTCTGTGAGGCCGTGGTATCACTCCGATCGAGCCGAACCATTCGTGCCGAAGCTTGGCTCTCTCACACTTAAACTGTACCACTGTAACACTGTATAGGTATATGATATTAACTTTGACAAAGAAATAATGTTTAAATGTTCTGCAAAAATATTTATAGCAAACCCGTGCCAATGCCATTAGTTGCTATTAACTACATATATTGTTGTTATGTTCATTTCTATCTAGCTTCTGCCCGCAGCTTCGCCCGTGTGTTATGTTGATAAGAAGTTGCCTATGTCCTATTTCGGAGTGTATCATTTGCCTGTGCGAAATTTTATCCAGATCTGTCCAGGGGTTTCGGCGTGATTGAGTAATAAACATCCAAACATCGTAACTTTCGCATTTATAATATACTAGGTAGGTAGGTTTTTCCAGCGACTTTGTTCGCGTGGAATAGTGACTGCCTGCAGATTTTTGGTTTAAAAATTAATCTTACATATGTCCTTTCTCAAGTTCCAAACTATGTCTGTACCAAATTTCACACAGAGGTTCAGTAGTTAAGGCGTGAAGAAAACACAGACAGACAGAGTTACTTTCGCATTTATAATATTAATTTGGAATTAAGAAGTAAGATATAGGTTTTAGTACATATAAGTGAGTTATTTAATATTTTTTTTTTCAGTTTTTAGCCTTTACTTCATATTAGTCATCAGAAGCTATTACATGAAGATGGACGATGAGCAGTCTACAGCACAGCTTAAATAAACGAATTTGTACAATCTAAAATAGAGCCACATATAAAAAAATCGAATAATTTTTTTTGAATAACTAATTCGAATTTTAAAACAGCAGAACTTTTTATGTCATAAATTGTCGTTTGAATAAATTGTATTTGGATAAATATTTAGAAAATGTATCACCCAAAACTGTGACTTAGGGCGTTCGCCTAAATGTCATAGTGGCCTGATATATGAATTTTTGATACGTATATTTGTAAATACTTACAACATGTAATTCCACGGGTACTAACGCGAAAAATAATAATTTAAATACCTTGGTAGGCTTGCCGTTTCGACCTGGTTGCACACTGCACAGGTCGTGGTCGCAAGCAGACTCAATTAGTAATTAAACAATAATAACCTCATTAAGTTTCTTATAATTAGTTGTAAGATTTGAGTTCGTTTTTTAAGTTTTCAGTTTTTTTTAATGTTCAAACTTCAAATTACTGAAATCAATGAGGGTTTTCGATACTTTTTCTGCCGCCAGGGGGCGCTTTGTATGCGTCAGGTCCAAACAGCTGTCAGATAGCACAGATTCTTACGGAAGTGTTATTGATTTTATTACGGCTACAAGCAATTGTTTTTTTTATGTAATAAGTCGACAAACGAGCAGACGGATTATCTGATGGTAAGTAACCAACGCCGCCCATGGACACCCGCAACGGAGGAGTTACGAGTGCGTTGCCGACCTTTTAGGGATTAGGGATTTGGAGATTTAGGGATTGGGGAAGGGTCCGGGTAGGGGAAGGATTGGGCCTCCGGTAACCTCACTCACACGCCGAAACACAACGCTGTGGTTGTTTCACGCCGGTTTTCTGTGAAGCCGTGGTATCATTCCGGTCGAGCCGACCCATTCGTGCTGAAGCATGGCTCTCCCACACTTCATTACAATTACAGTATTCGTTACAATTAAGTTTTTGAACGTTATAGCTGAGTTTTGAATAAACATTTACAAACGTTAACGTAACTGTATATCTATCTCTATAATCTGTAACTAAATAATTAAAAACGTTTACTGTTTATCATTATTTAATAACTTAGCAAGTTTAGTGAGGTCGAGGCTTTCAGATAGGATATTGAATGTCAACGTAAAAAGTTTAAATATAGTTTATGCTTGCTATGCTATGCTTGAATGTTTAATTAGATTTGTTAAGTGATTTATATATCAGATATTAAACTCTTTCATTAATAAAAGATGTTGTTTTTTTTTGTTTTTTTTTTCTTTTGCGAAAGATATGCGATCCCTATAAACATTGAGTTTATATTTCGCATTGGCGTTTGATACTACATAGCTACTCACAAGATTGCATTATTACTGAGAATTCACGAAAAAGTGAAACAGTTTCACAATTCATTCTCATTAGCAGCCACTTCTAGACAACCGCATCTTCTCACATAGAGAAGCCACCAGCATTACCATAGCTCATTGCTATGGTAATGCTCATTCCTGCACAGTGATCTCACAGTAGTTTATTCAAAGCAAATTGGTAATTTCCAACTTAAAATTACTAATTATTTGCCCACATTTCCTCCCAACGTTTTCCTGCACGTAGATGGCGGGTATAACCTCCGTGGTTAAAAGAATAAGGAACATAAGACATACTTATTATTAAACAGACGCACAACCTTCTTGCTTCTCAATTACATTAAAATTCTTACAATACAGGTCAGAAATTAAGAATATGTTTAAGATACATAGACAATTTAAAAAAACTACTGTCACTCGATGTTCTCCGAGTTTTGAGAAGTATGTAAATAAATATTTATATATCGTAAACATTCAGAGTAATTTTAGAAAAAAATACTTCTGTAATAATGGAGGGGCTACCAGTAACGGAGAGGTTTGTAACAAATATTTTAATCTAGATTCTATGTAGTTTCGCATAAAGACTGTTTTTCTTGAATCCGATGTGAACTGGGGAGACCCTTTGATGCAGGTTTAGAATTAGTTAATAATAACAACAATAGTCCTGCATCAACCGGGGATGGTCCTTGGGTGCACTTTTATGGTGCGTAAAGTGCGTTCTTCAGGGGTTCTCAGTGGCTACTCGTACGCCTTTCAAAAGTCCGGGTCCCCATGGTCCCATGAATGGCACACAAAATAATAATTTATAATTCCTTTTTTTATTTATTCAGAATCAAACTGGCTCTTGATTTTAACAAGTGTTGCTTTTGCGTGAACCTTAGATTAGGGTCCATTATCATCGCCTATTTTAACTTGGTAAGTCCTTTAAAACATTGCATACCTAATAATATGTTCATACCTAATAAGACATCGAAGTGAGGATGGGCAAGCGTAACATCATTCAAGTATATAGATAGAATCTTTATGAACTTTATTTTTAGAAATCCTGCCTCACAAAGACCAAGTATTTTTTTAAGAAACCTATTTTATTTTTTTTGTAGAAAGTAGTAATATTAAGTTATCAATGTTTAATGGCTTACTCGCGTAACGTTACGTGTGTTACGCAATAGGTACTGTCATGTACGATTATATGAGCCCCTAGCGAGGCTAGAAAGTTGTCGAGTAATGTCGTCAATCGTTACGTCAGCAAGCCGTTACATTTAATAAATTAATTTGTATAAAAATTGTATATAGATGTACCCAGACCCAATTGACTAAAAACCACCAGTTATTTCTCCTGCTCTAGGCCGAGGCTGCTCTAGCTGAACAGAATTTGAGGGGTAAATAGATACAACAAAGGGGGGAATAGAATCAGATGTAAGCGAATTTTTCTAGT